ATCGTAAATTTATAATATTATATAATATTGTATCATAATATTATATTCACATCAATGATTAAGCTACATTTTGTTAAGGTACTGTTTGTTTTGACCCTTAGCTCATACGTTTTTGCAGCTTTTGCACCCCATGAAAAAAAAGGACTAGCTCCTGTTTACAAATCACAACAATTTTTTTTTTTTAATAAATTGTCAAGAGACGAATTCAAAGGATCAAGGGCAGTCACAACAATCTTTTTGTTCACTTTTGATGTGAAATTTTAATAACACTTTATCTTGATTGTGAATAAAAAAACTAGTAATTTGGAGGTAATATTCTCTAGTCTAAACCTAACTCTTTTTAAAAAAAATAAAAAAATCTAAATAATTTGAAATAATATGATGATGATGATGATGATGATGATGATGATAATAATAATATATTAGTCTTGATTTTATAAAAATTAGAATCATTACTTTAAACACACTATTTTTAATAAATATTTCAAAAAAACAACAATTAAATTTAGTATTTTATTTATATTATTTATGTTAATTTTTAGATTAATTAAATAAATCTAACTAGTTTATTAATTATATAAAATTTAATATCATTAAATATATTTTAAAACATACAAATTTCTTGATAAAATAATTATAGATATTAAATCAATTTAAAAATTAATATATATAATCTATATTAATAGAATATTAATTCTAATATTCAAGTTTTAAAAATATTCATTAGCAAATAATAACACTAAAATTAAGAGTTCAATTTGTTAATGGAAGCCGATTGATATACATTATTCTCTAATTAATCATAATTGTAGTACACTATGTAGTAGTACATCCAAAATGCTTATGGCTATGATTAAAAGTCTTAAACATTTTTAATATTAGAATGCCTAGATTTACCTTTTTCTCTAATATAAGAAAGGATTTTTTTAGGATATTGGTTAAGAGTTTTATAATAATAAAAACTGATACTTAATTTATTAATTATCTAATTAAATTTATTTATATAATAATATTAAAATTAATATCAATTTTTATATTTTTCTACACAAATCTATGGTAAAAATGTGCCTCGAAAAATCCTATAACGGAAACAATTAGAGTGAACCAATCTTTAATAATCCATTAAAAGCCCAAAGCCCAATATCGGGTGTTGGACTTTGAACCTACAATTTCTTTGGGCAAAAAAACCTACAATTTCTGCCTTTCTGCCCAATATTGATCAATGATTGGGCTACAGATCTTGTTAAGCCCATATATGTGGATCTACAACTACGTACCCAAGAAAATGTCGGCCCAAAACACAAATAAAAATGTAAAGCCGAAACTTCCCTTCTTGCGGATTCAGAGTCGGACTCTGAGTGTTCCTTCCAACACGTCACCGTTTTCCCCCAGTCGAACCAAAAGAACTAGAGAAGAAAGAATCTTTCACCCCTTTCGAACTCCGCAGCTTGGTTGCTTCTTCCTTGAGCTAGTCGGACCTACCTTTCAGTGAATTCCGACGAAAATGTTGTCGCCGGAGCTCCAGCCGCGATCATTCCGACCGTATATCTCGTCTTCAGTAAGCGCTCCAAGCATCTCCTCCTACAAGCATGCCTCGCAGGAACGCAGCAGCGCTAACCCTAATGTCACCAGTTTCAACTACAGCAACAGTCCATCACCCTCCTCCTCCTCCTCCGCCGCCTCCGCTCCTCGATCTCTCAAGAACTCTCGGTTCTCTCCCTCCTCCTTCGCCTACAACACTCGGCTTGCCCTTGCTCTGGTCCCATGCGCCGCCTTCCTCCTCGACCTCGGCGGCAGCCCCGTTGTTATCATACTCACTATAGGCCTCATGCTCACTTACATCATCGATTCTCTCAACTTTAAATCCGGTGCCTTCTTTGGTGTCTGGTTTTCCCTGCTCGCCGCTCAGATCGCCTTCTTCTTCAGCAGCTACATGTACTCCACTTTCCATTCCATCCCTCTGTCTCTTCTCGCTGCATTTCTATGTGCTGAGACCAACTTCTTGATAGGCATATGGGCATCGCTTCAGTTCAAGTGGATTCAAATCGAGAACCCTACAATTGTTCTCGCGCTTGAACGTCTGCTCTTCGCGTGCGTCCCTTTTGCGGCCTCGTCTCTCTTCACTTGGGCTACCATTTCTGCCGTCGGTATGAACAATGCCTCTTACTATCTCATGGCATTCAATTGCATCTTCTATTGGATTTTTGCGATTCCTAGAGTTTCATCTTTTAAAACCAAACAAGAGGTTAAGTTTCATGGGGGAGAAGTTCCAGATGATAACTTGATTCTCGGTCCGCTAGAGAGTTGCTTGCAAACTCTAAATTTGCTGTTTTTTCCCCTGATGTTCCACATTGCGTCGCATTACTCGGTGATGTTCTCGTCTGCTGCTGTTGTTAGTGATTCGCTGCTTCTTTTCTTTATTCCCTTCTTGTTCCAACTCTATGCTTCAACAAGGGGGGCGTTGTGGTGGGTCACGAAGAATGCAGTCCAGCTTCGTAGCATTCAGTTGGTCAATGGCGCTGTTGCTATGATTGTTGTCGTGATTTGTCTTGAGATTAGAGTTGTTTTCCATTCATTTGGGCGGTACATACAGGTGCCACCGCCATTGAATTATCTTCTTGTCACTGCCACCATGCTTGGAGGTGCTGCTGGAGCTGGTGCTTATTCCCTGGGTATGATATCTGATGCTTTTAGTTCTGTGGGGTTCACGTCTTTGGCTATAGTTGTCAGTGCTGCTGGGGCAATTGTTATAGGATTTCCTATACTGGTATGTCCTACCTTGTTTAGCCGTTTTTTTCCCCCCCTTTTTCAATCTAAATTCATTTTACTACTGTTGTTCACAATCATGGGAATAGGATATATGAAACTAGTTCCACCAATTCAACCATCATTAGATTAGTAGGTACATGAATCTGTTTACTTGCTCACACTTCGTTTGATATGGCTTTATTTGACCATGCTTCTTATAGTCCTTTTACACACAGCACCTTATCTAAAAATGTAAATTTATAATTCTTAATTAATTTAGATTAATAATTTATATATTTTTAAGATGAACAGATTCTCTAATTTGATTGTTGATAAAGATTTAACATTATTTTGTTCTTATTTTTGCAGTTTATTCCACTGCCTTCAGCTGCTGGCTTTTATTTGGCCCGTTTCTTTACAAAAAAGAGTGTCCCATCATATTTTGCATATGTTGTGTTTGGGAGCTTGATGGTAATGTGGTTTGTCATGCATAACTTCTGGGATCTAAATATATGGATGGCTGGCATGCCCCTTAAATCCTTCTGTAAACTAATTGTTGCTGATACTGTCTTAGCCATGTCTGTTCCTGGAATAGCCCTTCTGCCTTCCAAGTTTCAGTTTTTGACTGAGATTAGTTTAATCAGCCATGCATTGCTTCTATGCCACATTGAGAATCGTTTTTTCAACTACTCAAGCATATACTATTATGGTTTGGAGGATGATGTGATGTATCCAAGCTACATGGTTATTTTGACAACTTTGGTGGGAATGGCTATTGTGCGAAGATTATCTGTAGATCATCGCATCGGACCCAAGGGAGTTTGGATTTTGAGTTGCCTGTATTGCTCAAAGCTAGCCATGTTATTTATTTCATCAAGGTCTGTCGGGTGGGTGTCAGCAGTCCTTTTATTGGCTGTTTCTCCTCCATTGCTTCTTTATCGGTATGTACTTGATAATTTTCATTTCCATAGGCTTCAGTTGATGAATTCTTGATAACATGACAGTTATTTCTTCTTTACATTTTGAACTTTGCAGGGATAAATCTAGAACAGGATCAAAGATGAAGGCTTGGCAAGGTTATGCCCACAGTGTTGTTGTTGCCTTATCAGTCTGGTTTTGCCGTGAAACAATTTTTGAAGCCCTGCAATGGTGGAATGGTAGACCTCCATCTGATGGTTCACTTTTGGGTTTCTGTATTGTCTTGACGGGATTGGCATGTGTCCCAATTGTCTTTCTTCACTTCTCTCATGTCCTGGTATGCAGATCTCTTCTCTCTCTCTCTCTCTCCCCTTTTTGGCAAGAGGGGGGAAACTTTTGCAAAAGGAAAATAATTGCAAAGGCCAAACAGTTGTTAGTGTCTGACCAAAAAAGAAACAATAAAATATTTGTTGCAAGGCATAGACTTTATTGAAAAGGGTGTCACAATCTCAGACAGGATTAGTCCATAATGAACAAAAGTCTGAAGTATGGTAGTTTCCTATGCTATTCTATTCTGATTGCTATCTAGCTATTTTCTTTCAGATGAATCATTAACTGTTTAGAACAGATGCTATTCTAAAGGTGCTTTAATACTTCAATCTTTGTATAGAAATAATATTTTTCATATTCTTCATATGTATCTAAACTTATCAAACCTTGCCCCTTTTCATCGATGCAATATGTGAATCTTTGACTGATTAACTCTCCTCTTGCAAATGCAGTCTGCTAAGAGATGCCTGGTGCTAGTGGTGGCAACAGGTCTTCTGCTTATCCTAATGCAGCCACCACTTCCCCTATCATGGACTTACCGGTCTGACTTAATCAAAGCTGCTCGTCAATCTGCTGATGACATCTCTATATATGGCTTCATGGCATCAAAACCCACATGGCCATCTTGGCTTCTTATATTGGCAATTCTGCTCACTCTAGCATCTGTGACATCTGTCATACCTATTAAGTACATTGTGGAGTTGAGAGCATTTTATGCCATTGCAATTGGAATTGGTCTTGGTATTTACATATCTGCCGAGTTCTTCCTCCAGGCTGCTTTCCTGCATGTGCTCATCATTGTAACAATGGTTTGTGCTTCTGTTTTTGTGGTCTTCACCCATTTTCCATCAGCCTCAAGCACAAAGCTCTTACCATGGATATTTGCCTTACTTGTGGCCCTGTTTCCTGTAACCTACCTATTGGAGGGTCAAGTGAGAATCAAAAGCATCATCGAAGGTTATGGACTTGGAGAAATGGGTGAGGAAGATAGAAAGCTTACTTCTCTTCTGGCTGTTGAGGGGGCAAGGACTTCTCTTCTTGGTCTATATGCAGCGATCTTTATGCTTATTGCATTGGAGATAAAGTTTGAACTGGCCTCACTTATTAGAGAAAAGGCTGTGGAGCGGGGTCGGCACAGATGCAGTCAATCTGGTCATAGCAGCTCTGCTCCACATACTAGGTTCATGCAACAACGCCATGCCTCTTCTGTTTCTTCCTTCACAATTAAGAGAATGGTTGCTGAGGGAGCCTGGATGCCTGCAGTGGGTAATGTTGCTACAGTGATGTGCTTTGCCATTTGCCTGATCTTGAATGGTCACCTCACTGGTGGCTCAAATCAGGCAATATTCTTCCTTGCTCCTATTTTACTGCTTCTTAACCAGGACTCGGATTTCATTGCTGGATTTGGGGACAAGCAGAGGTATTTCCCTGTTACAGCAGCCATATCGGCCTACTTGGTGTTGATGTCACTGTATACCATATGGGAAGATGTCTGGAATGGAAATGCAGGCTGGGGAATTTATGTTGGTGGTCCTGGTTGGTTCTTTGCCGTCAGGAACCTAGCTGTGTTGATCCTAACATTCCCCAGTCATATCCTTTTTAACCAGTTTGTGTGGAGTTACACGAAGCAGACAGACTCGACACCACTTCTAACACTACCCCTGAATCTGCCTGCCATCATAATAACTGATGTGATAAAGATTAGGATTCTGGGGGGATTAGGAATTATTTATTCAGTGGCCCATTATTTGATCTCTAGACAGCAATATATCTCTGGATTGAAGTATATTTAGAAAAATTGATACTCTTTACAATGTGTTCTGGCAATTTTCAAATGAGAAGTTAAAGTTGAGGTTGGTTTTCACATGTTTTAACTACATTTTGGGTGTGGATGTGGGTGTGGCCATACTGAAGAGTGTGGAGGCCACACAGATGTTTTTTATTTTTTTGCATTAACAATGGTTATGGTTCTTAAAAATATTAATTTATGAATTGATTTTAATTTATTAAATAATAAATATTAATAGCTTTACAATCTATTATTAATTAATAATTATAATTATTAATTATTTTTAACTATTGCACCGAGCCCTTCGGGCAAGTGGCAATAGTCATCTCACGGTGCACTTTCCTCTTCCTTTGGGTTAGGATTCAACCCAGTCCCTTGTAAAAATTGTTCAAAAAAAAATATATTTTTAACTATTAAATTAAATTAAGTCAATATTTTAAAGTATAATACATAAAAATTTGTGTAACTTTAATACATTCAAATGTGGTCTTAATTATTATTATTATTTCCTTTGACCGAATAACCATTACCATTTTATAGTAGGAAGGAGGAATAGTGCTCTCCAGATAAGGTTATAGCTACCATATTAAATGTTAATATAATTAATTTTTTAATTTTTTTAACTAATGTTTAAAAGTTTTAATTTGTTAATTAATTTTAATTATTCATTAATAAATATTAATTATTTTATTAATTAATAATTAATAATTAATAATTATAATTATAATTATTTTTGTTAATTAAATTAAATAAATTTAATATTTTTAAAGATAATATAAGATAATCAATCTTATCATAAGTGGTGACCTTAACCACACATTTTTTTTTACGCGTGTGTCAAGACTTGATTCCTTTTGCCCAAGTTTGAAGACAAGATTAGTGGGACATATTTATGGAGTTATCATAAGGTTAAATGCTAAATTTGATCCCTCAACTTTAGTGAGTTGCACATTTTTGGTCCCTCAACAATTTTTTGCACTTTTTTGATCCCTCAACTATACAAAATGCACTCCGTTAATCCTTCTGTTAATTTGAGCCGTTAGCTCGGTCACATGGCATTTTTTTTTTTTATGACATGGCGAGTACAACTTAAAAAGATGCTTATCTGGACTTTTTTTTTTTATGACATGTCATCTTCTTCACGCTAAACACCTCCAATGGATTCCAGTTGCCTACAAACTGGTCTCTCATCTTCACCCTCTGCAACATCGATCTTAACCCATTTCTTCTTATTCTTTGAATGCTCTCTCATCTCCACTCCATCTGCAAAATCGATCTTAATCCATTTCTTCTTCTTTCGTGAATGCTCTCTCATCTCCACTCCATCTACAAAATCGATCTTAACCCACCCATTTCTTCTTCTTCTCTTTTCTCGGGAAAACTTGAGCTACTGGGTTTCATTAAAACCTCAAACCTGGCATATCTTACCAAATCAAAATAACCCTTCAATAAACAATACCAATCAAACTCTAATCGAATTTCAACAACAATACAATCAAACTTTAATCAAATTCCAACAAAAACGCAATCAAATTATAAATCAATCTCCAAATATATTAACAACTGGAAATGGAAATCGAAAGAAGAACAAAAAAACAAGAACCAAGCTTTCCCAACAAAGCTCGGTTCGGTTGAAACCCAGCCTTGCTGGGTTCCGGCGAACCCAACCTTGGCTGGTCGCGAACCCAGCAAGGCTGGGTTTCCACCAAACCTAGCCTTGCTGGGTTTCAACCGAACCCAGCAAAGCTGGGTTCGTCGAAACCCAGATCTGCTGGGTTCTGACAAACCCAGCCTTGGCTGGTCACGAACCCAGCAAGGCTGGGTTTCCATCGAACCCAGCCTTGTTGGGTTTCAACTGAACACAACAAAGCTGGGTTCAACGGAACCCAAATCTGCTGGGTTCTGATGAACCCAGCCTTAGCTGGTTGACAAACCCAGCAAGGCTGGGTTTCCACCGAACTCGAAAGAGAGAAAGAGAAAAAAAAGAAGGGGAAGAAGAGGGATTGGGAGGGTGAGGGTGAGGATGAGGGTAATAAGGTCATTTTATATGTTTTTAATTAAAATATGTATATTAATCTATGTGGTATTTTTATTTATTTATATAACATAATTATAATATATATTAGTGCCACATCATCAAAAAAATTAAAAAACAATGCCACATGAAATTATTTAACTATCACATCATATTTAACTGACGGAAGGACCAAAACTGTGTAATTTTTAGAGTTAAGGGATCAAAAAAATGCAAAAAATTGTTAAGGGATCAAAAATGTTCATTTTGTAAAGTTGAGGGACTAAATTTAGCATTTAACCTTATCATAATTGGGTGCATACAGCATGCTGTATATCTATACTTTAAAATGGCAACTCTCCGACGTACCATTTGCTAACCAAGTGCCCTGCCCTTGCGGATACGGCTGTAAGATTCAAGATAAGATATGATGACTTCCAACAACCTCATAAAGACTACTCATTGTTCTGCAATCATAATGTGTTTCATAAATTTTAAATTTTTCAAAAAAATATGGAGATTTTTTTATGCTGAGGGATAACAAAATTAGGAAAAGCATTTTTATTGCAAATGAACGTATACTCATCAGGCCTTGGAATTTTTTTGTTAATGTGTGAATTTGAGTTATGTACTGTCTTGTATTAAAACTTGAAATAACTCTTAAATACTAAGATACCCTTTGAGACATTTCCAACATATTCATTGTAGCATTTAATTCTTACTACTTTCGAAGTTTAATTAAAGGATAATGGTAGACTTATCCTCTCACACAACACACTTCGTCAGACACTAGCCGTCTCTATTATAGATATTGACAGTTTCTGTTACGCACCTAATTTCTAAACTTTTCCATCTTCTTCGACTCTAAAAAGTGTTGGGTTTCTTAATCTATGCTGTGA